GTGATAGATTCTACATATGCTACACTTGTCGATGTACGCCAATTCAAGGCATGAGCCTTAGCTTTTTATTCTTCATGTGATAGTCAATGTACAACCAAATTCTACTCACGTCATATTTGTCAATGTACAATCAGTTCAAGTCATGAATCTTTGCATTTTTATCTTCATGTGGCAGTCAACATGCAATTGATTCTACTCACATTGTGTTTGTTGGTTTACAACTGATTTAAGTCACAAGGCTTCACTTTTTGTCTTTACGTGGAAGTCAATGTACAACTGATTTTACTCATGTCGCATTTGTTGGTGTAGGACCGATTCAAGTCACATGCATTCTTTTTTTTTTGTCTTTGTGTGGTAGTTAGTGTATGACCAATTCTACTCACCACACACTTGTTGGTGTACGATCAAATCAAGTCACATGCCTTTGCCTTTTTGTCTTCACATGACAGTCGGTGTACGATCAATTCTACTCACATCACACTTATTTGTGTATGACCAATTCAAGTCACATGCCTTCATTTTTTTTGTTTTCGTGTGGCAAGTGATGTATGGTCGATTCTACTCACGTTGCACTTGTTAGTGTATGACCGATTCAAGTCATGTGTCTTTGGGGTCAAGTTTGTAATCTTGAGTAATTGACAAAACTCAAACTTCAATAAAGTTATGAATATGTGAGCTTGTTTTATTAATAAACGCACTTTGACAAAAATTAACAAAACTGATAATTTGATAAAATATATAATGACCAATAATTAATGAACAATATGTTTGATATCATTTCTTTTTGTACATTATCTTCTAATAGTCAATTTTACAAGTTTATCTAGTGTCATCCTCTTTTATTTTTATTTTTTACGCCGAATAAATCTCAACAAGTTAATTTTTTTATTTTTGTTTTTGTACATTATTATTATCAAAATAGAAATTTCATGAGAATAATCACATGGACAAAAAATAAGTTAGAGATAAAATAAATGTACAAAAAAGTATTTAAATAAAATGATAAGATTGTACAAATAAGAAAAAAGCGTAATAGGGAGAATTTTTGTTAGAGACAATTTTTATGAATCTTAAATAGGCAAAAAATGTTTTGGAGGTTGAATAAACAATGACAAAAATGTATACTTATACACTTATTTTTAAATTTGAAAAAAAAATCTTCATGAAAATTACAGTATTTGAATTTCAAATGATTTTTTAAGATTAGCCTTATATCATGTAATAAGTAATTAATAATGATAATTATGTAAAATAAATATTATGTACCTAAATAGAGAGTCTATCAATTAGTAATAAATATATTAATTTCTAAATAAATAATTATAATGAAGATTCTATAAAATGGTAACAAATTACTTGAACAATTATAATGTTACTTGATTATAACAAAAAAATTGAAACAATATTATTGTATTTGTTATACGAAAGGAAATTGTGATAAGAGTGATGATATTATCTTTGATTTCCAACTTTTTTTTTTTTTTTTTGTTAACAATCAACCGTGAACTTATCTAAAATGATTATCGAAATTGATTGTATTTTGGTAATACACATAAAAAGTATAAAAAGGGATATCGAATTTTTCAGATTAAACATTTTAAAATTAGCTTATATATTTAAATAACAATAAAATCATAATATAATATTCAAATAAGTTGTAATGGGCTACATTATATGAATAAAATTCAAGTCGAATATCTAGCATCTCATCATGTACAACGTCAATTGGTTAGGTTTAGCTCAGTTTATAAATAAATTAAATCATCAAAAAGTAATTCATATAGTATATATACCGATGCATTTTATAAGTTTTGAACTATATTTTTTACGCAATTATTATTTGCACATGTTTTGGTAAAATAAAATCTGACCTTAAGAAAATGAGATATAAGATTTGGATATATATTCAAGCTTGATAACCACATAAACGTGTTGGATGATTAAGAAACATCGAGTGGTAGAGCCGAAATTTAACCACGCGATTGTGGGTTGTAGTTGTAGTGGTCGTAGAAAAGTTTTCCCAAAGTCTCACAATGAGTATCAAAATGTTCCAATTTGAAAAACGCATTAGAATTAACCTAGTCACTTCTCCAAAGGTGTAGAGTATTTAAAAGTGTAATATGTATGTCCTCATCCCCATTCTTATATCTGATACCCATCCCCCTCCTTACACCCAACTGGTATGAAATTTTCATCTCCATCTCCGTCTCTATCGAGTATCGAGTATACATGTACCTATCATGTACTCGATCAAAAATTAATTAAATACTTTTTAAAATGTATATAAAAAATTTAATATAGAGTAACAATTAAAAAATTACATTAATTAAATTTTATTTGAAATAAATTTAAAATAGAATAAGAGTTATGTAAATGTTAAGTAAATTCTAAAAAAAATAAATTAAGTTTCTTGAAATTTAAAGTGGGTACAAGTACGGGGTGAATATGTATATATTCATTCCCGTCCCCATACTTAATTCAATAAATCGGGTGTTACTCGTACTCATACTTAATCAAATCAAGTATTTCCCGTCAAAGTCGGGGGAGTTTGGGTATTATCCACGGGTTTACTTGTCATCCCTAGTTTTTATGTTTGACTATCATGAGTTTATGAGCCTTGAGAATTTCAGGATTTGATAGGGTAGTTACTTATCATTGGGTATCATATCTTTGTGCCTGATCTTGATTATTAAAGATAAGATTCTAGGCTAGATTATCTAGGGTCGGACTAATTTTGACTTTGTTTAAGCGGTTAATCATATACCAAGTATGAGGGATCATATTTATCTTATCAACCTGCTATTCCTAGCTTAATTGGTTATCTATTAGGTGATGAGGTCGATTTGAATCTGACCCAATTTAAAAAGGACAATTTGTTACGTATTTTTGTCTCTCTCAACTCAACAGATCCATATCAGAATATATCTAAGATGGTATACTTGTTCCCAACCTCAAGCTTAAAAGTTATAGAGATTAGAATGAACCACTTTTAAACAGACGATATCAATAATATCTTATCAAAATATATCCAAAAATGTACAAATAACAAACACTTGATACATAATAACTAATTAATGTAAAATTATTTTATTTGTTTATAAATAATAAATTTATTTTAAAAAAATATATAACATGCAGATTAAATAGATTGGTCACGAACCTCAAGACCAAACTCATTTGAATCGTAAATTAGAAAGTCACCCTCCTAAACTACCTAAATACACAATTATATTAAAACAATAATATATTCTTTTAAAGATTCTTGATATTTAAAAAATTAAAATATTTTTTTAATTTTTATAATTTTACTTATTTTATTTTTTAATCCCTATAATTTAAAATAAATATTTTTAACAGTTAACACATATTATCTTTTTTATTCTTTATATATAGTTTCTATAATTTAAGATATATTTTTTTAATCTTAATTTTTTTTTTGCTTCTTTTAGTCTCTGTCACTTTTGTAATGTTGTTTCTTTAATGTGGATGTAACAGAAGTATTAATTTAAGTATTTCAATATTTTCTAATTCTTTTGTACCTTCACATATAATACGTATTATTGAGACTTTTTTTTTTCTTCTTTACTTTCACGAAATTAAATTAAAGATCTTTACTACTCTAAGATAATGTTACAAAATTAATAATAAAAATTATAAATATTAAAAAAATTATAAATATAAAAATTAAAAAGATCTATATATCTTATAAAGACTAAAAAAACATATTTTAAATTAGAAAAGGTATATAAGTGAAATAATAGTTAATAAGTTTTTTTAACTCCCCTAGAAAAAAAGTTTTTTTTTAACTTTTAAAAAATTACAGCAGATCCCGCTTAATTTTTGTGGAACTACATAAACTCAAATAAAGCAAAAAAAATCTTTCGATACTATTTTCTTCCTCACCCATCATGCATCAGCAATCAATTATACCTAAGTTTATTTTTCCTAAAAAAATTAAAAACAATCTTTTTAGTTTTTGAACAAATCAATCTGTTTTGAAATCAATCTTTTTAGTACCGTAATTATAAAACAACTTGATTTGATTCTTTAGAATCACTTGTATATCCTTATAAGTTATAAATCATAGTTAATTGTGCATTATTATCTGATTTTAGCATAATTTTTTATTAATATTTTAACACGTAAAATACACCATCTAAACTTTTATTATATATAATTAAAATTTAAAATAAATTATATA